AGGAGCTTTAAAATGCTGTTTCATTTCTTGAGAGATGTAATCATTCACTAAAACAGTGACTTTTAGTTGCAGGACAGTCAGTGATGGTGTTTTGGGAACTAGCTTAGGTGTCTTAGTGTAACTTTTTCAGTGGTCCCCTTTGAGCACAAGTAGTTTTGATGCACTGCCGATACAAAAACAGTTCTGATGCAAACTCTTGTTGCCTGTGATCCTTCTGCACCCTACTCAAGAAGTCAGAGCTGTGCTTCTTTACTGTCTCCCAGACTTGTCCCTTTAATCCCCACTGCCTTTCCAAATGCAGTAAAATGTAAAAAAAATTAACATGGCAACAGCAGTAAAAGTAGCAGAACAAATAGCCACTGCACTAGCCATAAACTTCACTTGCTGTGGGCTTTCCTGGTGACAGGAATCTCTCTAAATGACTTTTGTGAAGTATCTCACTTCTCAACCCGTGGTGTCTCCTCCCATCTGGAATGCCCTTCCACCTTCATCTGTGTTTATCTAAATTCTACCCTCTCTTTAAGGCTGCTCTTGAGTTGCTTCCTCCCTGAAGCCCCCTTGACTCACCCCTCCTCTGACTTCCAGCAGCGTCGTGGAGTGACCCTCTTTCTTTCTCACTTAATCCAGCTCTGCCTTCCACTGCTATTTCAGTATGTGTCAGGAAAACGTGTAACAGTCACCTTTCCAGTGAAAGGAATGCCTGATGTTTGTTTCATGTTTTCTCCAGAAACCAACACTGTGCTAGGCATACTCAGTCAACACTGACTGCATACATGAAGTGTGGTGCTCTGTGTCTGTCATCTGTCAACTTGTTGTCAGATAGGGCAACAGAAAGCTTGCTTTCTCGGTGACAGAGGTAGGGGTCTTGTTAACCACGACACATCAGCCCCTTGCCCTGCTGGGTCTCTACCAGCTGTACTCACCGAGGTCCTTGTCCACAGGCACATTCAGCTCATCCTTATTCCATTTCCAAGCCAAAGTGACCAAGGGATGTTATAGTTCCCAGAGGGTGGGGTTTGGAATTAGTCGGGCATCATACACTGGTACCTCATTCCCGGTTTAGCGCTGAGAGCTGATACCCAGCCCACTGCCACCTTACCTAGTCTCAGCTGTCTTGCTCAGTTTACATGCCTGAGCTTCTAATTTAGTTTCCTACCTAGCCCTCTAGTCCTTCTCTGAACCCCAGATCTCTCTGGGAGGGAGGCAAGACATCCCTGTCTAGATCTTACTAGCCCTTTCTTCACAAGCTTAGATCCTTTTCCTTCTCCCATCTCCTTCTCCAAATCCTTGTGCCTGCTCCTCACAGCTCTACCCTACTCTGCCATCTTGAGTATGTCCTTGGATTTCAGCAGGGAGGGCAGAGGTGAGTTCACCACTCCCTTCCTCTAGCATGGACTTCATGTGTGGTCCTGAGTTCAAGGTTCTCAGCTCAGGTCCCAGCTTTCTTCAGTTTCCAGTTTCTCACACATTCAAGGTCCCATCCAGTTCACCTCCTCAGTTCCTAAACCTCAACACTGAGCAATTATATGGGCTTCAGGAATCTAACAGAAGTTTCAGGGATGACACCTGCCTCATCAGAAACTGAAAGGGGGCCCTGAATATAAGCCTGTTCAAGTAGAAGACAAAAATGCAACTCTCTTCTTAAGAGCCTTGAATTTTGCCGGTGAACTCACTCGCAGTGTTTCCTGAATCCCTGATTCTTAATGATGAGAAAATCAATTCAAAGAGAGAGGGAGAGAAACCTGTCTGAATTAGTAAATTACCTAAATTCTAAAATAATGCAAATGAATTCAGCTGTATTACTCTCAGGTGGGGGAAAAACATGAGCCAAGAGTGCTAACATATTACCTAACAACGATATTTATTGAATTTCCTTCAGCAGGTAGTTGCAAATGATACGCAATTAATCTAACTATTGTTTATATGTAAATGGTTGCGTCTAAGTGCTTGAGGGTGATTGGACACAGTTTGCTCCCTTTGTCTGCGCACCCTCTGCCTGCCTGCCTGCCGTCTTACTGTTCATTTTCTTAACACACCATTCCTCCATTAATATAACAAAATTAATTCCAGTGCAACCCAGATCCCAATTATCTCATACTAGACTTCAGGAAAAACTCAATTTAAGACGCTTAAGTGTACTGTGCTTGTTTCTTATTATATTTAGGTCGTCAACTCATTTCTAAGAACTCGCTCTACCTACTGAGTGTCAGCATTTTCACCTTCAGTGACTGTCATTCACTGCATAAATCAAGGGTGGTGTTCCTCTCTGCCCACTGGCCTGCTTCCCTGAACCCTACTCCTCTTGTCCCATCACATCCCTGCAGGACTTGCTTGTCTCCCTTCCTGCCTTGGACTCCAGGACAATGCAGGTCAGGGATGCCCTTCCTGGAATCCAGGAGTCTTCAGTCCCTGCCCTTCCAATATATCTCCTGCAAGTTATAACAAGGGGTCTTGCATTTACATTATGCACTTTTTGGTCCTCTTCTAATTCGTTTCATTCAACATGTTCATTTTGAGTTTCTGTAGTGCAATATTGTAGCTGTTCATAAGGAAATCACTACTAGTTTTGCCCAGTTAAATAATCATTAAAGGTTTGCTACCACTACCTATTTCTGCTACGCACACCCAGCAGGCCACTTTCCAGTCCCCTGCCCTGGGTCAGCTCTATCACGTCCAAGTTCACTCCACGTCCTTGAGAAAGGCACATGTGTCACTGGTCGGCTCCACAAGGATGTTGTGCAATTCCCACGCTATGTACTCTAGTGTGTGAAAAAGGAAAACTTCCTCAACTAAAGTTCCCTTTGTGTCACTAATACATCTGATGGCAGGAAACAATCTTAGTTAATTCAGAATCAACACAGAATTGCAGAATTTTCCAGCCTGTAAAGGGTTTCCCCATTTTCTGACTTGGGAAAGGGATCTAAGCTGTAGGAACGATGCTTCTGCAGCGCATTCACCTGTGTGTGGTGGGAGTGAGGGAGGGAGGAATCTGGACAAGCTGGCCTTGCCGGCTGAGGTGCAGAGTCCTGTCTGCCCTTTAGAAGTGGTCATGCTTGTTCTGGACCCTTGTCTGCATCCCCATCTGGCCCAGGTCAAGCTGCACTGTTTTCTGCTACAAGGTCCTTTTGTCACATTTCCTTCAGGTACCTGGGGGCTCGCATCTCCCTCCTTCCCTCTCTCAACCCTGCTTGAGTTTTTGGGTCCCTGATGGAAATAAACAATTGATGGCATCCCTCCCACCAACTCTGGACTGGTCCCCTCTCTCCCCACGTGGCCATTGTACTGTTCAGCTTCCTCCTCACAATAGCCGGGTAGGTCTCAGGT